GGGCTTGGGGGTGGCGTAGTGGAATTGAGCGGGACGGCCTCTCGGCCAAGTGGCGTTCGGTGTGGAGACGGGTTTACATCATTAAACTTACACCAAAGAGTTGGGGACCGAAAGTAAAGCCGGTCTTGAGACCGAGGTAAATGTTGGAAGCACCGACTGGAGAAGGTGAGAAGCTATCGTTGGCATGGAGGAGCTGGACCTACCGACACATCCGAGGAGAGCACCGACGACGAGCGCACGTACAGTGAGCTGGTGTGTTTCCTCTGGCAACGACGGGTCTTCAGGGAACGGGTCACGACTGGCACTCGTTAGTCACAGAACGATAAAAGTGTAAGAGTGGACGTACACATTTGGATTGTAGACGTCGTGGTCGTCTTGTTCGTGGTGCAAATGGCCCTTTTTCTCATCGAACTGTTCGTCCGAGTGCGAGTGGGACGCACTGAGATGGCGGGCACCCTTTGCTTCGGGATCCATGTCGGTATAGTCGACGTCGTTTGGCGTATGAGGCGCCTTTGCAGCTTCAATCTCAGCCATGTCAAGAGATGTCGTATTTGTCGATAATAGACTATTACTCGTTAGAGCGCCTGGCGAGTTAGAGAAGGAAAAGGGGGGAGGAGGCGAGAAGCAGCGTTCCCGTGAGACGATGTCGTTGTGGTTATAAGTTGTCGATATTTCTCATTTCATGGGATCCGAAAAGGAGAAGCATGCGGTGGAGTGAGATAGCGTGCAATTCTCCAATCAGCCTTCTGCGAAGGTGCGCAGCATGTGCTACCAAGGGGCAACAGGGTGGAGGTCATTCTTCACCACATGCACCTTCGGCCAGAACATTGACGATACATGCCGATGTTATAGTCATTATAGCCTTGGTACTACTGCTGAGAAAGACTCTATTTCATGGAAGACGGCCAGGGTCCTGTTATCTCTTGCAGAAGCTGCCTATCGTCTTGGCCATCAACAATCATTAACCACGCTCTATCAACTCTCAGCTCGTATCTACCAATCCT